AGAGGCTTCAGGTGTCCTTTTGGTTTCCCCCCTTAAAACCAACAAGGATATCCTTAACACGAAGACAGACTTCAATGGCCCGGCAATCTGTTTCTTTTGTGATATGATGTGTCTTCTTTGTTTTGTTGTTTTTATTGGGGGGGGGGGGCGGGTTGACATGAAACAACTGGAAGCGTGACACGGAAGCACCCGGGTCCATATTTTTGTTGTTTGACCCCGCGGCAGGCTTAGACCCAGTTTGATTTCTCCAAAAGGCAGGAGAAAGTCCCGGGTTTCAGCTTGCGTTGCTGCTTAGCTCAGCAGCCTCGAAACGAGACAAGGCCAAATTCCAAAGCCCTTTCGCCCGCGCAGAAGGACAATGTGCCAAAGCCGATTGGGCCAAAGGTCTTCAAGCCCTGGGCATTTTAGGGAAGACTTCCTGGTTCTCTTAAGAAATAAGGCGGTTCTTTGAACCAAACCTTCGTGTGCCACAGCGCTGGCGCTGTTACAGAACCGCCTTCATTGAGCCATCGGCGGTTCAAACATTCAGCCAGGTGGGTGTGTCCTTATTTCGGGGACCAAGAATGTCTGGTTTCCTTTTGGTTTCCTTTTGGTTTCCCTTTGGGTTCCTTTAGGTTTCCTTTTGGTTTCCCTTTGAAACCGACCAGAACCGGGTTCTCAAAAAAAAGAGAGTGTTGAATCGCCCAGGTGATCAACGATGGGGAGGTCACAGCCCTGGCCGCGGTGCAGAAGTTGGAAGGCGCGGGCCTCGTTTCGCGTCCGTCAGAAAAACGCGCCCGGTCCAAGGAGGCGGGGTGGGGGGGGCTGCCGTTGCATTTGAGGTTGGGTTTTTGGACATGAGAGGTTGCATGTACGAGGTGCAAGGTGCCCTTCATAAAGTCAACTGATGATCATCAATATAAGTTACAAGGCTGCGCCCAACTGCAATCATGGTTTGTTGGCTTTCTATGTTTGCAAGGGGAGGGATCAAGGATGGGATGACGTTTTCGCGCAGAGTCCTAAAGGTGGAGCACCTTTGCAGGGGCCAGGTGCCAAAAGGTCAGTAGATTCGCGGATTCCAGGAGTTAGGGCCTCATGTGGGTTTGCCTTCATTTTTTTTGCAAGGGCAGGTGTTGTTTCCCTTGCCAGCCAAAAGGGACTTCCTCAAATGAGCACATCCATTTGAACAACTGTCCAAATTGTCGCTGTTGCGATGTGGTATTCAGCGTTTCATTGATGTTGTGGACATGCACAACGTCATGGTAAACCATAGAGGGCTCCCAAACAACGCAAAGAAAAAACACTGTGTATGTATATATATATATATATATAACAGGTAGTATCGACCGTGCCTCATTGTGTTTCAACAACCATTGGCAGTAGCATACCAAGATATTTGTTTGTGCCAGCAAGGAAGAATCGAAGAATCCTTTCAAAGAAGGACGATGATCCTGTTGGAGTGGTAGCTTTCAACTTGCAGTTGATCCCTCCGGTAGGTTGCTCCCTTTTTTTGAACTTTCTTTTGAAGATTGAAAGTCCCTACCGTTTTTCAAATGGCTACTGGGGGTCGTGGTTTTTGACGAAAAGGATCAAGCTGCCAGCGAGGCCCTGACTCTTTGGGAAAGGTTCGCACAGAGCTCAGAGGTCCAGAGGCATGTCATTTGGAACACAAAAATTTGGCGACCCCAAATTGTACGTCCAATGAAAATTTGACGCGGTAGGTTCAATCCGTGATTTGTTTTTCAATCCTGAGGCCGGGGCTTTTGAGTCAACGGGTCCCCTGGTTGTTTGCACCCCTGTTTTGTTCCACCCCTATGAACCCCCAGGCTGTTCTGAGCCCTTGCTTTTTCCACCCGCGGTTTTTGCAACCTGTTTTTTCCACCCCACGAACCCCTAGCTTTTGTGCAAATTACCCATGGCTGTTTTTCACCCCGGGCATTGTGTGAGCTCCTGCTGTTTTCACTCTTGGTTTTTGTCCACCAATATGCACCTTTGGCTTCTTCCTGACCTCTGGTTTTCTCAACCCCAGATTTGTTCCACTGGTTTTTCCTCTATGTTTTGTTCGCCCCTCGTTTTGGTGATTAGTTGTTTACCCCTGCTTATTTGTGCCAATCCCAGGTTCTTACCCCTGGCTTGTTTTTTGCAGCGGTATGGTCCAGCAAGTTGCAAGCCTTGTGTCCACTGTTCTTGTTCATCCCTTATTCTTTTAGACCCCTATGATCCTCTTCTCCAATTCTGGTACGAGCCCAAGGCTTTCGCATATGAAGCCGTGGCATTCTCCACCCTTGGTCTTCCACCCCCCTCTTTTTCCGGGCGGCTTTTGTTTTTCAACCCTAGCCCTGGGTTTTGAAGCGAAGCCGTTCGGCGCGAAGGCAAGGGCAACATCATGGGCATCTCCATGGGCTCCTCCGAGGGTGCCGGCTACGCCAACGCGGAGGGGAACTTGATGGGCGCGGAGCCTCAGGATGCCTCAGGTAAGAATTCGGTGGCAGACTGAGTTCCCACTCTACATGGGCGGCTCGCCATTGCCATGACAAGTTATATAAAACAAGTGTGCAACGTGCAAGACGATGTGTGTGTGCAGTTTTTGACGGCACCCCTTTCTGTCGTGGTTTTAAAAGAAACCAGACGGACGCCAAAAGTTGCGCCACTTTTGGGAGTCCAACCTTAAAAAAGACAGACCCATATTAGTTTGTTGCTGTGTACCTGTCTAGTTCGGTGGAGCTCTTGCTTGGACATCGGGCTCCAACGCAACCCGTCCGCGGTCTTCCCGGGATTGGTGGCTCTGGCTCCTCGGTTCTGTGGATTCTTTTTCGAGGTTCCAAATGGTTCACCTTTATCCAGGTCCTTTGGGCAAGTCGTTTGGTTTATCATGGGCAAGTCGTTGGGAAACATTGGACGCATTTTTGATCTTATTGTGGTTTAGTGGTTGAAATCCAACCACTTAACCGCTAAGATTTGAGATTGTTTGCTCCCCCTTCCAGCGTCAACCAAGTTATAAGTTTCTCCCGGGGCTTCATCTATCACTGCGGATTTTGCACAATGGACTGCGCCGGAAGACTTTGCACAACGGGGCCCCGCAAAGCGCAGCATCTACGCCCACCCTCGAAGGATTTGAGAGATAACCCGGAAACCAGCAAAGGTTAGAGAGTCATGGACTTTGAACTGTTTGGCAGTACCATTTCAGTGGTACATCGTCTGTTCAGATCTTATTTGGCCAGTCCGCTGCGGAAGTGAGGAGTCCTGTTGCCAACGAACGCGGACCTTTCCAGTCATTTCATTCTTTACGTGGGTTGACTCCGTCACTGTGGAGATGGTTGTCAGTTTGGTCGCCGTTGGAGTCGTTTCCCACGAATTGATGAAAGTCCTGACCCACTATTGGAAAGCAAGCATCATGACACCTGACAGAAGGCCCTTTCAAAGGAAGATGATCCACCAGCTGTACGTTCCCTCAGGTTGACCTTTGCGGGAGGGATACAAAAAGCAGCGCCCTCCCTTCTTGGGATTTAGTCTACCTCGGAAAGAAGTAGAGCACACAGAAAACAGCACAGTTGCAGGAAATACATCCCCCACCTAAGCAATGTCCCCACCAGGTCCTCAAGTAAATTTCCAACCCAGACGTTTCTTCCTACAAAAAGACATGGCATCTCATAAATTTACTAAGGAACCCCCTCAATGGCGGTTGCAGGACATGCATCCCCACCTAAGCAATGTCTACCACAGGGTCCCCAATCAAAATTCGAACTTCCGACAAAAAGATACGGCAAATCCGCAAGGCTGGATCAATGAGCTGTGCTACGTCAAGCTGGACCTCAACCCGGAGGCAGGGGTTGAACGGGGAGCTTTACAGTTGGGTTGGCGTGTTGTGTGGGGAACCCCTTTTGAACAATTTGAGAGGGAAGCCGAATGGCCGAATGGACAACTGCCAATCGGAGGAATTGGTCGACTTCTGCGGTTGTCATTGGAAATGGGCGAATTCGGTGCCAAGCCCGGAAAGGCGAACTCCAAGCACACCCAGCACCAAGCGATTTGGGTATGCGTCAAGATACGGGAACCCCCCAAACTGGCGGTTTCCCCTTTTGTTTCCCTTCAAACCAACCTCAAAATGGTACCCTCGAGAAACAGCACATTCAATCGCCCCTTTTCGGGCCTGGTGAGCAGTTTCGACATTTTGATCACGGACTTGAGCTGGGCTTATCATGATCTAGTGCTCAATCTGGGTTTGTCTTAAGAAGAACCAGGAACCACCCCTCGACTTTAGTCAAACAAAATTGAACTAAAGCCCGTTTGGGGGGGGTCCAATGAGCTCGGCCAGACAGCGGTGAGGCTGGGGGGTTTGGATGGTCCGAGTGTGTCAAATGTGAGCATTGCTTTGCGGTTTCTAGACATGTCTTGGTCTTTGTGACGTGCAGTTTGAATGTCAGGGCTTCTGAAGTTGCGTCAGGCAGTGTCAAGCAATGCTGTTTGTTCACGACCGAAGTATAGATCTCGATGCAGTGGCTCTCAGCGCTTTCATGATGTTCTTATGACATATGATTACTTTGTAGTTGTTCTTTTTTCATGGCAATACAACATACTGGTCCACACATGTATGCGCAACATTTCCCATATCTACATGAAATATCTCCAGCACATTCCTTCCAGCTCAGGCGCCCACGGACCCCTGGACCAAGGGCTCCCACCGGGGCATGTCCCACATGTACCTGGGCCAGCGCGGAGCCACCAAGCTGGCGGCCAAGGCCGGCGTGAAGGCGCCGGGCGTTCTCGCCGCCGGAGCCGCCGAGCGGTGGGTTTCGGAGGAGTTCTTGGGTTATACACAGTCAGGTTGATGTTTTTCAGAAGGAAAGCCCAAGAGGACTCCCAAAAGTCTGAATGTTTGGGGCAATACCGTATACACCTTCGAATTGTTCGGTTGGTTTGAAGAGAATCCGACGTTTTGGGGATACCGCGTGCCGTAGAAGGTTATGATTGGTATACCATTTGTCATTTTGATCCATCTTTTTGGCTGCCCTTGCAAGGCAGGGTTCCCTATGTTATCGCTTCCAGCATGTAGGGTCGCAACACATTCGTATCCAACCAACCGGCCACGCGGGGGGTTTGCCAGGTGCCGGAGAACTTCGTCTACCCTCACCCGGACATGTGCACCATCAAGCACGAGTGCCATGCCCAGTGCTTGAAGATGATCCAGAAGCTCGGCCGGATCGAAGGCGACATCCGATTCGCTCAGGCAACTTGAAATACCCGATGTCTGGGGGGTGTTGAAAGGAATCCGCCATTTTTGAAGGGTTCCAGAACCCAGAGAACATGCAGGGGTACCTTTTTGTCCCCCCAAGGAGCACCCAGATTGATCTCCCACCAGTTTTTTTTGGGGGGGATTCCACCTAAGCAAAAATGGCGCGCCCAAGTTTGTATCCTCCATTTCCCGTCCACTTCGGTTGCTATCGCTGGAGAAATGTCTCGACCGAGGGGGTCCCTGAGAATGACTCGCAGTTCCCCTGAAAAAATGACTCCCCTGAGCAAATGATTCGCCCATCATTTCCGGCCACTTGGCGCGTCCGCCGGAGAAGTTGTTTTTGTCTCGGCCAAGGAAGGCCATGGAGGACCCGGCGCTGCGGCCCTCGGTGGAGCAGCTCTATGTGACGATGGGGGTCTATCTGGGCTACGCGCTGGCCCAGCGCCCTGGCCGCAGATGGGGAAGGACCTTCCAGGTGCTGAAATGACGTTGTTTTTGTTTGTTCCTCCGTTGTTGTTTTTTGGGTATGTTTTTTGTTTTTGTTCTCCGTATGTTTGCTTCTTTCTTCTTTTTTGCTGTGTTTTTCGTGTTTTCCCCCCCCCCCCCCCCTTGTTGGTTTTAACAGGGAATCCATCACTACTGGATGTTTTTTGTTTTTTTCAAATGGAAGCAAATGGAAGTGTTGAGGTTGGGGGTGGAGGGTTGGGGGGTCGGGGTTGGGGGTCGGGGTTGGGGGTTGGGCAGGGGGGAAGTTGTTTTTTTTCCAGCGGAGGCCACTACTTTTTCTGGTGATGGTGAGGTGCGGATGGCTTGCTGTTGAGGTACTTTCCGTTTGCCTCTTAGATTGAAGCCAAAAAGGAAGAAACCAGCTTTCAGAAAGTTTTTTTTAAGTGAGGTAATTCTGTTGTTTTGGTTGAAAGCTGCACAAGAGGAAGCCAGTTTATTCAAAGCTTTCCCAATTGCAGATGGGCCCAAGTAGGTAGCGTTGCTTTTGGGATCGGTTGGGATGCCTTCTATCCGTCCAGAAGTGTTGGACCGCTAGGTCCCAAGTCTCATTTCCCCCGGTTGCGTTCCTACAGTTGTTTTCTAGGGGCAGAGGGATCTAAAAATGTGTGTGTGTGTGTGTGTTTTCTAGGTTGCTTGTGTTCAGAGTCACCTGTGAGATACTGCGAGTTCTATGCCATCGACCACGTGATGATTTTGGGGCGTGTGAGCAAGGGTGATGGGGGCGACATCATGCTCAACACCGCCAAGAAAGTGCTGGAGGTCGGGGGGTCAAATCAAAGCAGTCGGTACCTCTCAAGTGTCGAACATAGTCCCACCTTAAGCCCAAGTTGAACTGACTCTTCCTTTGGACGGTTCAGCTTTCAGAGTGGTAGGTGAGTTTATGTGTTCATAAGTGTTGCTTTGGCGAGGCCACTTACAAAGCAAGGGTTCTGAACGAGGCAAACGCATGGTGTTTCATTTAAGGGATCGAAGTAGGCTCGGCAAGAGGCAGCATGTTGATTGCACCTGTTGCCGCCCTCCTAGAGATGAATATGTGATGTTGGACTTGCATGGAATTCATTTACATGCCATTCCAACAATTCAACATTGTGTGTGTGTGTGCGTTTGTTGTTTGTTTCGTTCGTTCGTTCGTTCGTTTGTTTGTTTGTTTGTTTGCTTCTTCTTCTTCTTCTTCTTCTTCTTCTTTTTTTTTGGGGGGAGGGCGGGGGGAGGGGGGGAAGTGTATGGCATTTTTCCCCTCAAGCTCAAACACCTCCTAGATCGAACAAGAAGGGCCACTGTGTGGAAAATATGTTGATGTTCTGGAATACATATTTTGTGGGGGGGGGCTGGATCCCAGATCCAAGATTGCACAGACAAGCTGCTTGGACATCTTGATTCCAGGCCACGCCCGAAAAATGAAGGAAACAGCTACACATGTTGGGCAACATGTCCGAGGCACTCGGCTTGGTCAACATTTCGCGCAGAACCACCTGGACCACTCAAAGCGCAGAAAGCACGAAAAGGCAATCCGCCCCACCATGCCTGGAACGTGTTGTTTCGCTTTTTTGTGGGTCCATTGCAGTATCTGCCAAGTGTTGCGCAAGTATGGGTAATGCTGCGGACCGAAACAGGATACAACACACTACATTGTACAAACAGAAACAAGAACACTCCAGCCGTGGTGTCTAAGGATTAGTTTTCTCGTCTCAATCTCTGCCGGAAATGGGTGCTACTATGAAGTCTGGATTCTGAGATTGGATCCAGAAACGCTAATTGTTGTGGAGTTGTTGTGGGGCGTGCGGGGGAAAATGGTAGTTGTTTTTTTATTGTGTTTGTGTGTTTCTTTCGGGGAGGGGGGGAAAGGTGCAATATACATGAATTTCTATGTGTATACACATACACGTACATGTATGCATCTGTATATACATATATATTTGTACATAGGTGCACCTAATTTGACATGCAGATTCCTTATACACATATGCACCCTAACTTAGGGTCTCGGGTGGAAAGGGTTTCAAGCAGCAGCCCTTTGTCCAATGCCTTAGGTTCCTTGAACCGCCCATCTCTGAGCGCTCCCTTCATTGGGGGTTTGGATTTGGACATTTGTTTACATCACTTTTTTTTTTTAACTACGTGGCTCTGAGTCTTGAGAGGGGACCACCGCAAAAGTGGTTGGTGGAGATGAACCCCCGTCGAAATGATATCCACCAACGGGTCCCCACGGAAATTTGCACCTGTGCAGCCATGTTGATAAAAATCCACTCGCGCTCAGACGGAGTTCCCGGAGTGCGCCAAGATGCAGTTCCACACGGCGGATGACCACTTCAAGGCGGTGGGGCAGTGCATCGCGGCGGCGGCCCTGCCGTCCATCGCGTGAGCGAGCCATCGGAGAGCTCGCTGTGCTGAGCGCGGATCATTGATTTGGGCCCAGTGAAAACCAGGGACTCAAATGGCCCCCCTCAACTGTCTAAATGGCCCCCAACCTAGCCAGGAGGTCCCTTGACAAACTGATTGATAGCCGTTGAGGGGTGCTTTGGTTGTCTCTGCTTTTAGCTGACGCATCGGTTTCCTTTTGATCCCGCGCTGGCCAAGATCTTGGCCAGTGTGGGCGCATAACATTGGTTCAAGTAGTTCCATGATAGTTTTGCCTATGCACAAACGCACAAGTTTTGCGAGAGACTATAGACAGTGTGCGCGAGGGCGCTGTGCTGGAGCAAAAGTGCCGAAGGGGCCTGCTTCCACTTGCGCGTGGTTTTGGATTTGTCCCGTTTGTTTGAATTGCAGGGGCATGGGCATGCGCAGTAAACACCTAGGTTTCGGGGCTCCCAAATCAATTCAACTGTACAGGGTTCGTGTGTATGCCCCTGAAACAATGCCTCAATTGTTCCAAGCATCAAGCGAGAAGGACTGCGCAAATGCCGGGAGTCTTCAAAGTGAGGTTCGGGAACCCACCACATGAAAAGACAAAAGGCACAGGTGACCCTTTGGAAAGATGGATGGGTTTCCCTGGTACATGAGTCTAGGTGCAGTGCCCTTTCTCACCCTTTTTTGGGGGAGGGTTCCCCTACTAGAATAGACTACAGAGAAAAGGGTACCCTTATTCTAACCTCTCTACTGGAGGACCTAGGCTTCATAGCTCGAATTTTCGAAGCCAGCAAAATGCACCTTGGGCAGGGCAAGCCCACAGCCGCTCAATGACTGGCAGTTTCGATCCCAAGGTGTCTGACACTTTGCCTGTTTTGCCCGTTTCCGAGGACCTTCTCCCAGACGCATTTTTGCGGGAGGGGGATTTCCGCTTCCCTTCAACATCAACTGTACAACATAGGGAACCAGTGTTTTTCCCCATGGCCACTGTTGTTTTGTTTCCCCCCCCCCCAGCCCTTTAAACCAGCCCCAAAGCCCAGGTGGTTGCCAAAGTGCGGCCCATGTTGCGCACCATGACTGCGCCGCAGCTGAGGCGGGTTTGCGGTCACGAGAGTTGCTGCAGTTCTAACTAGTTGGGTTCAAGGTCAATATGGTCAATACCTACTCACATACTGTTAGAGGGGATCAGGGGCACACGTTCACCAACATCCAACGTTATTGGGAGGCACCATGAATGGTGTCGCGGCTTTTACTTTTCCTGAACAGAATGCGGAAAAAGAAGGCCCAGTTTCCCTGTGCAGTCCCTTTAAAACACCCCGCAAGGCGACCCAAACAACAAACATGCGCGCACACACACACACAGACAAGTTCCCCTTTGAAAAGCGGTTCTAAGCATTTTCCTTTGGAAGGGCTAGTTTCAAGATGTGAGGGGTGATGGTTGGGGAACTATTTGGAAGCCTGTTCTGGGCTTTGAATACTTCGGGATGTGTTTGGGAGAACACTTCAGACTTGTCTGAGTGGCAGTTTGTTGGATTCCAACATGGACATCAGGCCCTTTCCCAGGAACATTGGCTTCCCCAACGGGGATTGATCAATATTCCATTTAGGGCCCCCAAGCGACCATGGGTAACTTTTCTAACAATCGATCGCCATAGGCGTGGCCAACCCTGATTCTTGACGACTTGAAGATGGACTGAATTGGATCAACACTGGAGCTGTGCTTGCCCGGGGGGGGGGGTTTGGCGGGGGCGGGGTGGCAAGCACAGGTGTATGAAAGAAAGAAGCAGAGAACCAAACAGAAACCAATCACTACACCTCAGGACTATGCGAACCAAAGAACACGAAACAACATGTCATGTGGTTCCGTGTTTATGAGTCTCCTGAAATTTCCGTCCACATGGTCATGGTTACACAATGATTTACCTAGTAGAAGGAACACGCAAAACTTATTCACCAAGGATTTCTGCCCGGTCGCACCCGGCAAGTGGACCATTTTGCTGGACCAAAGTCAAGCAACCAACGCACCGGGCAGGCTGGCAACAGTATTGTTTTCCTTATGCTATGCTCTTCCATTATGACGATTTGGGTGTCGATCCAATTATCCTTTCATAGGGTCCAGCGATCCGGGGAGAAAACCAGCAAAGACCATGATGAAGGTCCCTTACTTGGGGATTTCTCGTTTCAGGTTTTGGAAGTATTGCAGAATTTGTGGGATTGACCACATTGAAAAGGGTTGGAATAGGGCCAAGACAGGTTCAGCCCATTTCCACAACCTGGGGTCAGTCCCTATGGAGGCCTGCGTGTATTTGAACCTGTCCAACCAACCTGCTTTTCACTTGGTACTTAGGGGCTCCCCTTTTTTCGAATCTTCACCCCCCTTCATTCAAAAAATAAAGAGAGCTGACTTCTGTTTGCATTTCTGAAAAACTCACTTCGGCGAGCATGGCTTGGCTCACGGACTGTGGAAGGCATACTTGCCTCTGGGTCGAAGCGAGCCTTCAGGTTGGGGGGTTCCGAAGGTGTCCCGCTTTGCCGGGGGGGGGGGAACCCGCTGGTTGCCTTTGAAGGAAGACAAGGAAGCCGTTCCCTTTTTGGAGGTCCCCGAATTTCAGAAGGCTCAAAAGGTCCTCACGCGGTGACCATTAGGGAAAACCACCCAACACCGATGACTTGCACCACCAAGTTTGGGAACTATTCACGCATGGTGTCATTTTGGGGACGAACCGAATTTTTGATCAACCCTGACATGGAATCCATGGGTCTATTTTCACTGCCTTCGCTTCAACCGAGGCACCCCAAGAGCTTCGCAGAGCAACTGGCGGAGATGGCGGCCCTCAGCAAGCGCTCCCACCAGGCCCTCGGTTTTCGCTCGGCGCAGTTGTCGTTCAAGGCTCCGTACAGAGAAGGCAACAGAAAACCAGCCCAGGGGGGGTCTTTTTGCCACCTTTCGTGAGAAAATTTGGCGACCCCCTCAGAAAGGAATGCTTCACTTAAAAAGGGGGTCGATCATTTTTCCACCAAAGGTGGCAAAAAGACTCCCCTGAACCAGCCTGTCTTGGAAAGGTTGCACTATTTTTGAGACGAAGCCAAGTCTCACTTGAGTTCCTGGCGGGGGGAAGCAAGCAAGTAGTTCGGACTTTGTTTGGCCCATCAGTCCCCCAAACTGGCAGGGTGTTTTGTTGCTTTCTTTGTGAATACCAACTCAAAGGGGGTTCAGTCACCATTTGAGAGCCCCTTCAACACTTTCCTTGCAGAGTGGTCATCGCCTCAGCATGTTTCCAATTTTTGCCTTGCTGAAATGCGGACATACAGCAAGGGACGTGGTCTTGGTTGGCAGAAACACATCGAAGGGGTAAACCAATAAACTGACCAACTGCCCCCAAAGGACAGCTGGGCGAAATTGATTGAAACACCCAAGCCAAATCCAACCCCTGGCACCCATTAAAAAAGGGGGAACCGAGACATCCCCGATTTTCTGCAGAATAGCAACCCTGCAACCAACACGCTCCCCCCCAACTTCTGATATTTTTGTTTAACGTGTCCGCTTTGTTGTTTTTCCCCGATTTCCAGACCACACTGGGGGCCGAATTTCTTTCGTCGGGAGACGAGTCGAGAGTCGGCTCTCCGAGACCCGGCGGCGTGCAGCGAGCGCGCCGGCCGCCGTGGACACCCAAGACTTCGACGCCGGCAACGTGCGCCTTGCGATGCGGGGGGGTTGGGCTGGGGTGGGGGGGGGATTCTTGATAAAAGAGCTGGGTCCTGGTTACGAGGTTGAGGGGGAGCCAAAACTTGGTGGAACAGACCCAGCCAATGTGAGTTGAGGACTCATCAAAAAGAAGACCGCGAACAAATCAAGGGTGGTACTGTCACCTTCAGGTTCCACCAAAAGGAACACCATTGGAATCAGGAGGGGCAAACCGGCCCTTAGTGGGGAAGCTGTTCAATTTGGGAGACGTCCTCTGAGTATGTGCTCCGGATTCATCCATTCACATTCTAGTGGACGCGGATGCGGTCTATCAGATATCGCAAGCAGACAAATGGCAACCCGAGGGGGGGCCAACTTCTGACCATGTTTTGACGTTTTGCGGTTTTTAAGCGGGCAACACCTTGAAACAGATTGGTGGTTTCGTCACTGTGTAAACTGTGGACCTCCAGGTATTTATTTGTCCTCCTGGACTCCTTTTGGTGTCACACAGAGCATGTTGTTCCAGTTGTTCAGAAGCGCTCTTGTCCCCTTTGCTGCGTTTCCCTCTAAAACTGGTCACCTCCAAAAATAGATTTCCCTTTTTCTACAGAGTCACTGCTCAACTGGGTCATGGCAACTGTGGGCCTCAAAAGGTGATCACTCATGTGGTAAACTTCAGTGACCGGGTTCCGTCCGGACGACCCTGTAGTAAATCATTGGAGCCCATGGTGGTGGAAATCGTTGGTTTTGGGGCCAGCTCCTGTGATGCCAGGGGAAGCCATTTCAAAGTGACAAAGCAGTCATGGAGATGACTTTCTTTGGGAAAGGCATGTGGGCCAATGGGTGTGTCTTTACATGAGGGTACCTGTTTTAGGGGCTGTTTGAAGATGCCACCAAAAGAACACAATGTTGGGGTTTTTCTATTTCGAGGCATATCCGTATTCTCCGCCCCAATGTCGAAGCCCAGCAAATTGATTCAACTTTTGCACAAAATCCGATGAGTCCGCTGGGAGTTTTTGTTGGGAAGACCGGTGGGCTGTGGGAGTTGCATCTACTTTGATACCAATTGTGACGAAGTCCCCATTTCAATGGGAACGAACAAACCGCCGGCGCAGAAAGGGGAACTACCCCCCAGACACAATCTTGGCCAGCATAGTTCGGGCACTTGTGATATCCCTTCCGGGGTTTCCTCCAAAAGAGTCTCCTCCAAAAGGGTCTCCTCCACCATTTCATACTTGGGTTTGTCTTGTTTTAGGGGACCCCCTAAAATGTTGGTGTTCGTTCCTTAAAGAAATACAATGAAATACACATCCATAGCCATTTGAGGGTAGGCAAACTCTGAAACATGACTAACATTTCACTTAACCTGCAACCCACAGGCGCCCACAACAAACGGAGCTTCCTCCAAACACGGGGCTGCCTTCCAGGGCGCTCCGCCTGAGGATGAAGAACACGGCGGTGGCGCTGGCGCTGCAGGAGGAGATCTCCAAGGTGCTGTCGATGGAGTGCTCCGAAGGCTCGGCGAAGCTCGCGGGCGAAGCGTTTGGCGCACCCTCGCCCATCACCCCAGCTGGTGGGGAGGGTTTCTAGGTTTCTAGGTCCTCCAGATTTGAGAGGTTAGAAGAAGTTGGTGAGCCGGTATTTTTGCTGTGGTCTGTTTAAGGGAACCATCCTACAAAAAAGGGTAAAAGGGCACTACTGGGGCTCGCCGCTCGCCCCTTTTAGGGCGAAGAAACAGCTCATCAATGTTTCTCGAAGCATGTGTTAAAAGATTGTGGGACAGGTGCACTGCGCCATCGCTGTTTCGCATTAGCATGTTGCAAGCATGGACGCCTCGAAGACGGAAAGGGGTTTAGGGTCTGTCAAGTTGAAGGGGAAGAAAGGGCGAACCTTGGGGCAGAGGACGAAGTCTCCTTCGCTGGGGATTCTCCATTTCCACTTTTGCGAATTTGATGATGGACATCTGCCCAGAAGGCTTTGGCCTGAGAAAAGACAGGCGACAAAAACGGTTTGAGTGGGTTCTTGCAGTTGAGGAGTTCCATACCACCCGTCAACGAGGAAGCACTTGTTCGGATTGGAGGTTGGTTTTTCTTCGTGCTGAGATCGCTTCAATCGAATAAAGGAAGCACAATTTGCAGGCCACAAAATAGCAAGCAACTACGGAACACCGCCATTGAAAGTCAAATTGAATGGACAATTCCTGGCGAGCTGTTCCCAGTGGTAGCTGGATCCACTTCGGGAGGGCACAAGGTCTAATTGAAAGACTTGCTCAGTTTCTCGGTGGCGCAGTGGTGCAGCACAGTCGTGCAACGAGGTGCCGCAGAAATGTGTCACAGAAAACGGTCTGACTTGTGCACGGAAAGAAGCAGCCCACAAAATGCGGGCCTCATGTGAGAAACTGACAAACTCAGTTGTCCAAAGCCGACCTTTTGACCTTTTGGCTTTCCCATTTTGGTCCATTTTGTTTTGTGGCTTCAAGCGATTAACCTTTTATTCCCAGGTCCTTTGGGCAGCTGAGATGGGCGTCGATGTTTCTGCTTCGCTAAACCAGACGGCCCCAGAATGGAGTCCCCAATCAGACTGGAGGCCCCAGAAAGAGTGTTGTCCTTTCCGGGTAGAGGCTGCAACACGCCAGGTCCGCTGAACCTCTTCTGGCGGCCGAGCCCTTAGAGAGCAATGCCTTGCCTGGGTGCTGAATTGCCCGCTTTCAATTTGCTCAAGAGGATCCTGAGGATACCAATAGGGGATGGGTTCTTTTTGGAACAAAAGAACCAGACATCCTATTTAAGCGGTTGCCTTGATTTTCCATTTGAACCAGCAAGCCGTAGATTTTTTGCAGGAGCAGTGATCATGGTTGCATTTCCTGAATTTGAGAGCAAGATCCCCTTTCTCCACATTCATTGACATTCCAGCAAGCGCGGGCCTTTTTCTTGGTAGGGGATGTGGGAATGGCCCGGGACCAAGGAACACGAGCCCGGCACGGCATATTTGGGCTCTGTACAGTCCACTATGATATGGGACCACCAACAGGCAGGGTTTTCTTTCGTTCTTTATTTTTGAAGGTACCCTATTTGGGCTTGGTTGAAAGGAACACCAAAAGGACACTCTTTTTGGGCGGTCTAGCAAATACAGACCCGTCTAGCGGCACCTGGGGCCCAGTAAGTGGGTGTGAGATTCTGCACAGCTATACCCTGCGACCGCTGAAGCAAGGTCACCTTTGTGCGTCCAGGTAGGCTTAAACCCAGAGGTGGTTAGTTTTCAACAGCAGAACTGAATTGAAGTCCATTTGTGTTGTTGTCCAACAGGAACACACAAATCCTTCTTTCTTTCTTTTTCTTTTTGTGAGGGGGGGGCCAACTATTGTGATTAAATGGAAACCCTTTTGGTCCTTTTTCTTATTATTATTTTTTGGGGGGGGGCAAATATTTTGACAACCTGGAAGCGCCTTCACATGGCTCAATCATCGGACTGAGGCAGGGGCGAGGCTATGCGGAGTCCCAGGAGTTGATGCGGCTGCGCTCCTTGGACCTTGCAGCGGGTCCTGTCGCGGTCTCTGATCAGATGAGCCACGTGCTCAAAGCCGATTCGGGTAGATGAAGGTTAGTAAGGGGCAGCCCCGGCCAGAAATAGTTGCGGAATTCCGCCTTCTTGATTCTTTACATGGTTCTGGGATTACGACCATTTTAATACCGGGTTTTGATTGTGACTCAGGTCCTGCAACGACTTTGGGGAAGCAGCTTCTTGATTTGCCATCCCCTGCGTTCGATGGTTGTTTTTGCTTGGGTGGGGAAGAATCCACGTCATCCAATTCACTAATGTGGGGGCTCCTCCAAAACCATGTCAAAATTTTGGGTAGACTAGTATGAAGCAGAATTAGAACATGTTTTGCTTTGACCCCAGGTATGTGCAATCTTGTGCGGAATACTCATAGCTCGGCTTTTGTATGGTGAATTTGAAGCGCCAATGCGAAGCCAACAACCCTGAGGAACCTCCTATGGACATACTCACATTCATGACATGCATCTCTTGGTTGTGGTATGTTCCATGGGCTTCATTATGCACTTGGGGAGTGGGGGGATCCTGAAACAAATACATTTAGGGGCTGAGGCGTTTGGCCAACCCTCAGCCCGAAACCCATGTGAATGTCCCAGGTGTTCGCTTCTAAAGATCATGTTTTGGGTGGGTTTAAAGTGAAATTCGTTTGGGTGGGGTGATGCTTGAAGTGGACCTGGTTCTGAACCCCGAGGTTGTGGTTCAACCTCGGGCCTCGTCAGGGAAACGAGGACACATGGACAGGCAATGGCTTAACCCCCAATTCAAGGAAGCTCACGGGCTACAACCGTTATGCATGAAGCCAGGAACAGGGGCATTACCCAGTGGCATTTGCCGTTGCAAGGCTTATGCCTTTGCTTTCCATTGAGAACGGTTTGCCAGCAAATAGGAATTGGGGGAAACAAGCACAAGGACACAGCGGGACAATGAGTGGAAACTACCATATGGCTGCGTCTTAGAACAGGGGAAGGGCTTTCTTCTCGTCTCCGTTACAACCCCAGAAAGGGGTACCGAGCAACAAACAACACGCCAAGAAAGGCTATTTATGTGTGGATGCTTGAACGTGAAACCCTATGGTGTAAAACTTGGTTTCACAGTGTACTTTGGTGTGAAAAGGTTACGCCTAGGGTGCGTTAGGTAAAACCACAGGGTGTGAAACCTTTGTACAACATTTTGGTGTGCAACCCTTTCGATAGGGCTCCGATTTCCTATGTGTCGTTTTTTAACGGCATCACCTTTGTGTTGTGTTTCTAGAGGAACACCAAAAAGAACACCGAAATCCATGTTGGGGATTCCCTGAAAAAAAGGGCACCCATTTGTTTGTGGGCAAAGTTAAAACTATATGGACATTTGATGGACAATTTGTCCCGTTGCCCGTTGTCCAAAAATGTGCGAAAGTCACCCTCCCCTCGGGACCTCCAGCGCAACTACTCGATCGGAAGTGAGACTCAGACCAGCCACCATCCCTACCAGGGTCCCTACCCCCTTGAGAATGGAGTTGGGGGAGGGGGGTAACCCCGAAAAATCTCCATTTATGGCATTTATGGTTCCATTTTCCTTTGTCAAGGGACTAGAGGAATGAAAATGTGGACCCCCCCACCCCCTTTATGGTTCCATTTATGGTTCCGTTTATGGTTCCATTTTCCATTTATGGAACGAAATTGGGAAACCCTCCACCCCCCGCCCCTAGGCGTTGAGCCACCCATTGACTCGGTCCACTTTTTTTGGTGTTTCAGGGTACCCTGAAATGAGTTCCCGGACTTCTTTTTTTTTTGCCGGGAAAAGCACAGACTTAGTGGCAAACAACAAGTCAATAGTTCCTCTTTGCGACCAATCCACTCGGTCGGCCGCGCCAATCCGCTGGAGGTCTGAACTGCGGGGCGCTGCTCCTCTTCGCGGCGCTGCGCAACGCGCTGCCCGGCAACGAGCTGCCGCTGAAGCACTTCGCGCCCCGGATTCCGGAAAAAGAATCCTCGGCGGGGCGAGGCGCGGGGTTTCCACACCCAAGTCCGGTTTTGGACTTTAGTCACCAGAAAAGGCAAGGTACTTGTGATCAACCGAATTATATGCCAAAATGGGCGGGTTTTCCTTTTGGTTTCCCTTTAAAGCCTACCAAACACGGGGTAACTTTGGGTGCATTTTGCTTGGCTGTTAGGACTTCAACTTTTTGCCAGCTAATGGGTTTTCCCTATTAAACCACTATAAAAGTTAAACCTTTAGCAGGGGAGCAGAACGCAACCGAGACCCGAGTTCCGTTTTGGACTTTCGTCACCTTTTCCCTAGGGGAAAAAATGACCCGATTTAAATGATGACGACCCTGAGGTAAACAGTGGTGGCTATACCAACCTTTTGTTTGATGCTGGTTTGAACCCTACGGTTTTGGGTTTGGACCATTTTAGTGGTAAACACAAGTTTGGTGTTTTTCTTTTGCCAATCCACTCAGGAAGTGAGACAAAGGGGATGTCTCAACACAGTTGGCTCCCGTTAAATGGGAAGGGCGCCATTCTGGCGTCTCTTTAGATACCAGAATGGGGGCTATCGTTTTGAGAAACACTCATCGCTTGTGTTTCTTGCGGCTCGGGGCCTGTTGTTTTGCTTGCTGAAACGGGAAACCAGAAAGGAAAGTGTGCAGTTTTCTGCTGGTAGGGTGATGTTTAACGGGGACATATCTGCAATGCCCAAACGAAACACGCCAATCCCAGTTTTGGTCTGTTGGATGTTCAAGGCTATGTGTTTGAATAGAGTCGTCTGTTTTGTGCACGGGACTGCTTTCCAAGAGGAAACATCGGCTTTCAACACGGGCATGTGTAACAGAGTCTTGATGGGCAAACTCAAAAGTCCCCTACCGCTGGACTACCCTTTCAGTATCTCTTGAAACATCATCCCTTCGATTTGATGGTTCTTTTTTGGTGTTTTTTTGTTGTTTACTTTTCAATTTGCGGCGGATTGTTCTTTGAGGGTGCCCCTTTTGATTGGTATGTACTTTAAGGGGAAGCCAAAAAGACGCCACCCCTTCCTTGGGGTTCCCCGAAAAATCGAAAACAACCGCGATTTTTTTTTACCGACCGACGGAGCAGTGAGCGGAGACGCAAGCCCGAGGCTCCGACCGACAGCATTGGTGTCTCGGCGGAAGCTGCGAGGACGTCAGTACAGAGATGGGTGTGTCGTGTTTGCTCGTGTGTGTGTGTGTGGGTGTGTGTGTGTGTCTTGTTAAGGTACTCGCAATGTGGGGTGGTTTTAGGTAGTGAAAAGGACAAGCTTCATGTTTGAGGCTCACCCTTTGTCAAGACACCCAGATTTATGGAGTTTCTTTGGACAATGCCAATGAATCCCTGTCTCAGACGTGCACGGGGACTGCTGCCGGCATGCTTGTTTTGCAACAGTTTGGGCCCAGCCATCCCTATCTTCTGGCCCTGCTGTCGTTTCCCCTATTTGCAAAGCAGTTGGCGGGATCAGACATGCCGTTTTGCCCGAAAGCGAGAAAGGTTGACATTCTTGCTTCCGTCTGCCAGATCTGGTTGGAAGACGCCCTGGGCCATTCAAGTCGAATTGTCATGGCGAAAGAGATTTGCGGTGAGCGACGCCATGGAATCGGTTCCTTCCTTAGAAGATTCCTGATTCCACTTGTTCCGAGGATCCTGCCCTTTTTGTTTGGACCCACTCTCCCTTTTCTACCGACCTAGTCACTGGCTTGGTGTGGAATAGGGGCTTTTCCCCGTGTCTCTTTGTGAAGGGAAGAGAAGGAGGGAATAGACCTGCACCCAGCAACAACAGAATCCCAAGTGCTGTCCCAAAAGCAGGGCTGGGAATCAGTGGATTCCACAAGCTGCTCAGATGTAGTTATTTATATAGGGGGCTGGGAAACAAGGTCAGATAGTGCCGTGGGCCCGGGATTCAAGGCGTCAAGGACGAGGACGAGCCTGCCGCGGATTCGCCAGGCAGGTTTGGCTACTTACTGGATCCAGGCGACCTGTTCTTTCCTAAAAGGATCGATCAGTGCGGTTATGTGGGCGCTTAAACGGGTTGTCTCCTTCCACGTGCCCAAGGCTTGGGTTGGAAATATGCTCAGTTTCATGGCAACTTGGGTTGTACCGTTGTAGCTTCAAACGGCGCAAGGTTTGGGAAGGTATGATGCAACCGGATTCCGAGTGGTCGCGCTGTCCTGCCTTTCCCGGTTGTGAAAGCTTCCTGGTTCGACATCTGGGTGAGTCTTTCTTAGGGTGGACACCCTTTTTTTTCCAGGCAAGCCAGAAAGGAACGCCAACATGTTAGGTTCAACCCTTAAAACAGACGCACCACGTAGTGGGATCTCTGACCTGGGCCACTGATGGTGATCACCTTTCTTGGTGACAAGCCCAGCCATCCGGTTCCTTAGCGTTTTAGATCCTTTTAGTTCGTTTAGTGGTAGTTTGCAAGTTTAACCCACTAGAAGTTTTTCAGCTCGTGGTGTAACCACCGGCCACGTAACGGACCATCATGCGGGGCACTAGAAGTTAAACTGTTAGCGGGGGATTTGAGGGCAGCTTTGATTCCGTCCCCTCCTTTGGGTCAAAGGCCTACGGATGGAAGCTAGCGGCTCGGAGTTCTCCAACCGAAAGACTCAGCGGTCGGGGACAAGCATTCCGTTTGCCTTTTCCCCGGTTGGTCTTTGCAGGAACTCTGCTGCGGGAACCGGCTGCGAAATCCATGTCGCACGAATCAAAGCCATGCTTGAACCCCTTGTTTCTTGGTTTGAGCGCGGGAAGCATTCCATGGTTTCTTTGGTGCGACCTGGATTTCGCAACCATCCACCGTATCTGGACACATCTCGAGTGATTTGCCCATCCGCCCCGCGCAGAGCCGCCGCCGCCCTCCGTGTCCGAGAAGGTGGGGCCCGACTGGTGAGTGGGGACCGGCTCTACAAAAGCGGTTTGGGGATTGCAGTTCGAAATGTATCTGCTTTGAGCATCTAGGTCCCCCAGTGCCCTTTTACCCACTTTTTTGGGGGAGGGTTCCCCTAGGATAAAAAGGGTACCTGGTCAGTGCTTTCGGTCACTTGGAGCGGTCAGTCCGGGCACCGGGAGCTCCAAGGACATGTATTCGCCACGACAAACGTACAGAAGGTGTAGCAACGCGAAGCCAGGGCAAATCCGCAGAGCAAACTCTAAGATTGGGGAAGTCCCCTAAAATCATATGGACTATGTGAGGGTGTGCAGCCCTTAAATGAAAGGGTGCACACGCTCAACAGGGTACAACCCTGCCATGGCAAGGTACAAACCTGAGCTACTAAGGTGAAACCTTAAGATTGTAACCACCCTGAAATATCATGGCAAAGCGTAGGCAACAGGGTAAAAACATATGAACAAGCCTGAATTGGGAGGGTTGAGCAAGTTGCAACAAGGCGGAGAGTCTCAACGAAAGTTGAAACGATGTTATTCTCATTTGGCATTTGGCAGAGACCTCAACTGATCCGCTAAATCATTGGCGATAAACTTCAAAGGAATGAATCGGTGTTTGCTTGCTTGATTGATTGTTGGCTTGCTTGCCACCTTTTTGTCTTGCTAGTTCGACTGCCTGCCTGCCTGCCTGCCTGCCTGTCTCTGTTTGTTTGTCCGCCTGTCCGTGGGTTGGCTGGCTGCTTGGTCGGTTGGTTGCACGTGCGCTTCCCCCCACAGCTTCTCAGCCTACTGATTGCTTCCCCCGCGCACTGCAAGCTCTCGGTGCAAATGGAGTCCAACAAAACTCACTTGAGCCAGTTGCTCAAAACCCGGGTAGATGAAGGTTAAGGGGCAGTCCCAGCCAGAAATAGTTGCGGCCTTAGCTCTTGAAGCATGGTTCTGGGATTACGACCATTTTAATACCAGGTTTCGAGCAAGTGACTCACTTGTTCAAAGCCCATGGCTCAGTGGTCCAAAGCGAATCGACCGGATTTGACCTTTTGGTTTCCCCATGTTGGTGATTTGTTTGTCATGGCCCCAAAAGGTTAACCTTCTAGTCCTGGGTGCCTAACAAAACTGAGTTGGGGTTGGTACATGTTCATTCCTAGACATAGTTACATCTGTTCTCATTCCCCGTGAGAGCCAGCATGCGGCTTGAGTTTCTTGCGGCTTGGGTGATGCGCAGGAAAACATCCCAGAGGCGAACCAAGTTTGCGACCTGTGGCCCAGGAGGCGGCATCTCCCCCAAAGCCAAAGCGCGCCTTGGCATTCGCTCACCCTCCGGTGGCACCCAGTCCTGTTTCATTCAGGTTTGTTTGTTTTTTTCTGCAAGGCAGCCAGGCAGCCGGAACTCGGGGTGTCCCTGTTCTTTGATTCGGTGTCCGGCTTCCTCGTTTAGGTTCAAGTGGGCCACTGGTGACATATCGCTGCAGATCAAAGCCCCGCCCAAGCGCCAAACCAGACGTGAGATTTGACACCTAAAGGACAGGTCAAGGGAATTGGCATGAGCAGTGGGCATATCGAACTAGGCAGCCACCTACCTCAGACTACATCCAATGAGGCGCCAATGCGGGTGGTGTCACCAAAGACCCGCAGCGCAGTTGCCTTTGGCAAGTGGTGCCACTTCTTTGGAGAGGGCCCAGTGGATCTTGCGGCAGTCGGCGCTTTTCCCAGCTTTTTTGGGGGTTCATCCAGCCCAGCTTGTGCCCGGCGCGGCTTTTGTCCGAGACCCGAAAATGGGACCAATTTGAAGCACGCCATCGCTCATGAGCGAGGGATGTGCAATCTGAGTATGGGTCTGAGTCCAGATGGCACTGCCCAGGTCTGCCGCTCTACACCTCCAGCTTGGCAGACGGGGCTGCTTGGCTCTCGCCAACTCTTGCTGGAAGATCAGCCTGAACTCTTGAAACTGGATGAATAGAGGGGAGTTTCGAGGAATCCCGTTATTTGAACACACCCGCAAAGGATGCTAACTTCCAATGGAATAAAAGTATGTGTTATGTTCCTCTCTTGGTTTTAAGGGGACTGTATCACTACTGGACATGTTTTGTGTTTTCGTCCATTGGGCTTCAGCCAATGGAGAAGCTGGAAACAGGGCTCTGGTCGCTGGGTTTCGGCCAATCGAAACGTGAGGCTTTTGCCATGGGCTTCTCCGTGATCTTTCATTCCATGCCCAGCTCTCACTTTGCTCGCTCGGAAGCCCAGTCCGGTCCTCCGGTCCCGGGCGAGGTGATGATGTTGCTTCGGTTTTGGCGCAAAGGCAACTCCGTTTTCGGACTTTAGTGTTCATTTTTTGCGAAGACCATGTTGGTGGCAAACAAAAAGTTTAGCTTTCTTGACCAGTCAACTCAGGAAGTGAGTCAAGGGGTGTTTCCATTGGCGTCCTTTTTGGTTGTTTTTGTTCGAACATGGATGGCGATTCCTGGTTGGTTGTTTCAGAATCTACCAGTGCCATCGTTTTTCTTCCAAACGGACACCTATGGGTGTTTCCCCACTGAACCAACCAACGAACCAAGCAACCGACCAACCAACCAGCCAACCGACCGACCGACCAACGAACCAACGAACCAAGCAACCAACCCAACCCAACCCAACCCGACCCAACCCAACCCAACCCAACCCAACCCAACCCCACCCCACCCCACCCACCCACCCACCCACCCACCCACCCCACCACCCACCCCACCACCCACCCCCCACCACCCCCACCCACCCACCCACCCACCCACCCACCCACCCACCCCCACCCACCCACCCACCCCCACCCACCCCCACCCACCCACCCACCACCCACCCCACCCACACCCACCCCCACCCCCACCCCCACCCACCCACCCACCCACCACCCACCACCCACCCACCCACCCACCCACCACCCACCCACCCACCCCACCCACCCACCCACCCACCCACCCACCCACCCATTCACCCATTACCCACCCACCCACCCACCCACCCACCCACCCACCCACCCCCCCACCACCCACCCTACCAACCAACCAACCAACCAAGGGCAGAACTGGGGGGGACCCACTTTGGGCAGAGCTTTTCTCGACTCGAAGAATTCTAAGGCACCTCGCCCCTGGGAGCGGCCTTCCACCTGGGCCTTCCACAGGCGATGCTGGAGCCCCAAGTCCTGCAGGACAGCGGCGGTTTTCCGGAAGCCAAGGGAAAGCAGAGACGGGCAACCTTTTTTGGGGGACAAAGGGTCTTAGCAACTCGGGGACATGTTTCGGGGCCATGGTTCAAAACCAATGGGATCCCATTTTGGGGCTTTCGGTGCACCACCAATTTAAGAACCTTTTTTACTGGGGATTGGAATGTT